CCCTCGGCGGGAGCGCCACCGCACTCCCAAGCGGCGCACTGTAGCAGTGCGCTACCGGGCCAGCCCAAAAAAGAAATATATTTTAAAAAATCATATTTGCTATAAAAAAATGCTTCCAGTCAAATGAAAACCCAAAATAGATAAAATATTTTTTGAGTATGACCATAAAATCATTTTTTATTAAGATAATACATTTTACAAATATTTATCTGATTAGCACCTTTCCAAACTGAGAATCAACAAACTTTTTTTTTAAATGTAGAGATAAAAATGAACCAGGACTATTATTAAAGTCTTAGGAACTGAAATCAATGGTGCCTTCGAGCAAAGGGTCCCATATGCCATAACATTTTCCCTAGTCCTCAGTGTTATCATAAGAAACAACAACGAAAAACAGAATATAGAGAGTTTTTCATCAAGCTAAGTTTCTTCAATTTAAAGGACTCTCCTTATTCTGAGATCTCCTTCCTGCCATTTTGGTGAAAAAATATCTTTCGTTTATGAAATGATGAAGACAATATAGTAATGTTGGATTTTTTTAAATGACTGGCCAAATACAATATTAGACCTACATTAAACACCCTTCCCCCATTTTTTCTCCCCATGTCAAGAAATACGGGAATCACTCCCTGGAATACCTCCAGGTGACAAGCAGTAGCTCTGCAGGTGCAGAAAAATCAGCAAGTCTTTTAGAGGTTAGAGGGGAGAGACCTCTGGAGAAGGATCCTGCTGTTCATACATGAAGGAGGATACTGTTAAGATAATGCTAGTTTCGTAAAAATCCAGAGGGACAACCCAGGCCTTAACAGCCTATACTGAGCCTCTGAAACTATATATGGGGTGTGTGTGTATGTGTGTGTGTGTCTACTTTTTAGAGAGAGATCCCCAGTTTTTAATCAAATAAGAGGTTAAGAACTTCCTACACCTAGCTAAGAAGAATGGTTATTACAGAAGAAACCAAAACCAGGATTTCTTCTTAGTTTTCAGTTTAATATGTGATGTTCATTAATACTGTAAGAAAAGACCATAAAAGAAATACAAATACTCTGTAAATTTTACAGTAAAGTCATTTGTTGAGAAATGGTTAAACCAGAAGACTACAGTGAAATCCACTTCTCAAAACAATTTTTTTGTTCACCCTCCAGAAGTCAACTAGAAAATTCTTGTTAATAAAGGCAACGGCAGAGTAGAACTGCACAGAAGCGACCTATCAGGAATCCACTCGAAAGAACGATGTGTGGGGTACACATGAGAATGTGTCTATAAGAAAGATGTGGCTGCTTAGTTTGCCACTCCGTGATCAGTCCATCTTCTGATTTACATTGCATACTTTGCTGGTAGGCCTAATACTATCGGATATGCTTTCAAACCCCCAAAATGACCAACTGCAGTGCCTGTCTTGACAGAGTCTCCATCGTGTGGAGAAAAAAGCCTGCCATGATCTGGGGATCTGGTTATAAAGCAGCTGCATTCTTCAGCAGGAGATACTCCAGGACGGTACTGTACACACGCTTGGATGTGGCCACTGGGGGAGTGGAAGAGCAGTTCTTCTCTTGCATTTACATCCCTGAAGCTCTCTGAAGCAAAATTAAACACCTTGGGCGCCCAAACTGCTGAACATACTCTGATGAGGAACGTCTTTTGAAGGCAACCAAGGTAAAGACAACGATAGAGTGAGCCCCAGCATGCTACATCAAGGTCAGGCCACATTCAAGTGCCCTCATCACACTCCCTTTTATCATCGTTATTTCCAAATTAAATTTAAAAAATACACACGGATTTGTGACATCTACGTGTGTCCTCCAAATCTTCCTCTAATTACCTGGCCTCTCATTTGCAGTCAGATGGCATGACCCAGGAGCACACACAGGGTTAGCCAACTGTGTAAGTGCAACGGTGCTACAGATGACAGGAGCTTCTTCTCTTTCAAGTTGGCTCGTCACTCTGTTACCCACTCTGAACATCCTCCACGCCTGACACCAAGGGGCATCCTGGCAAATTGGCAACCGCATGGCTCCTCCAAACTCATAGGTGAGGATTGGAAAGACACTAATGTGGCCCAACCCATCCAGGCAGTCAAGCATTTGCAGTCAATTTGTGAATGATTTCCTCTCTAGGCATACGTACTACACTAGACAGTTATCATTAAAGTCCCGTCACTCCTGCCTGGCTTTAGCTCACTTCTTTGGCTTCTATGAGGACGAGGAAACAGAATGAATGGAAAAGCGATCTACAACACCTCTAAAGCATGTGAATTCAATCTGATGAAGCCATCTAAGGAGAAGGTGGACTAAATGTTTACTTACTCAGTGCAGATTTTGTTTTGTTTATAAAACTTGTGCCTTGTAGAAAACAACCGAGAAATATACTTGGCATTTTCGATATCATCCTCGAAAAAGAAGAAATAGGAAAAATAAACATTTGTTTGTGAAATATACATTTCACTAGGATTCCTCTAAGCGGGGATACATCCAGTCCTCCTTCATCTCTAGCACAGAATAACACGCTTGGCCGGCACCCAAACCAACCTGCTGAATTTCAACCAGCAGCAGCCACGCCTATGAGGCCCACCAAAGAATGGCTGAAAAGGCTGTCTGCCAAGGAATCCTTTGTGTGCAAGGTGCTGGGGTTACAGTGATGAACTGGCCTGTCTTTACATAATTCCAAACCAAGTGCTTTAAAAATAAATAACTGAATCAAGGCAGAGCATAGAATAACCCCCAAACATCAGTACAACAGAGGCAGTGAGATGCCCAGGTGGCCCTGACTCAACAGAAGTCCAGGTGAGCCAGCAAAAGACAGTGCAAGGTGATATTATCGGGAGTTCCTCCATGAGGGCTGGGACTAGGGTGCTGAGGAACATGGCATGGCAGACACTGGGATCCATCACAAACAAGACAGTGGAGGTAGCTAAATCCTAGAAGCAAAGTCAGCTTGGAAATCTGCATTTTGATCATGTTATCTCACCACCACTATACTGAAATGAACAGCAGCAGTGGGCAAGTATCAGAAAATACCTCTCTACTAGAATATTCACTCTCAAGACATGAAGAGCAAGGAAAGGACACTATGAGTTGAAAAGCTGGGCAGCAAGCTGTTCGTCGGACTCTGCCTCTGTCCATCCTGCTTACCGTGTGAAAGAGGGCGGTCTCTTCTTTGTTGATGAGCTCCACCAGAATCGCCGACTTGTTGTGAGTGATATTCCCAACGTCGGTCCACCTGGTCAAAAGAAATGCAATCCTGTTTGCCCAAAGACGTTCCATGCATTTATTTATAACCCTGCACAGGAGGGTTGCCTGCCACCACCGAAGCTCATTTTACAAATTATAATTTAACTATTTTTTTAAGAGCTAAATGTTCCTTCTCTCAAAGGAGGAAAGTAAAGAAAATGCAATATCTACCTGCGTAAATAACTAAAAATTCTATGTAAAATGTATTCAGATATTGCTGTTTATAAAGTAGAATTTCCTTCAGGACTGGCTGGGAAGATTTGCGAGGGACTTCTGCCTTTTTTCCATGTTTCAAAACTGACGAAACACTTCCCAGGTACCCTGCTTTTTAGTGAGGGAGAAGTAAATACTATTAAAAAGTCACATGTTTTAGGAATCTAGGCCAAGAATCTGCATAGATTCTGTGTTGCAATGTACTCTATAGACTGAGCATGCCACCAAGGAAAAAATGCCTAGGGAGCATTTAATGTGCCCACACTTTTGTGATCTAAACACACACACACACTGAAAAACAGAATTTTCTTCACTATGCTCATGGAGACCTTATCCAAAATGAGATACACAAAATAAACACCAGACAAGGGAAGACAAGGCACTGCTTCCAGCAGTTTTTAAGGAAACTGAGCAAAACCTGAGAGTGGCTTACGCTCATCAAACTTTCAAACTGCTATTTTCTTCTTCTTCACCTTAAAGCTGGCGTGCAAGACTTGTCTACCTCTGCAGGTTCAGGGGAGACTGAAGCATCGATTTAACTATGGAGACTGGTGGGATGGAAAGCCTGGACAGCTTTAAATGGGAATAAAAATGCATAGTTACAACTGCACGTATTCACTTATTTTACTCAACTAATTTGTACTTTGTGGCAGGTATGTGGTGTTGACTCTGAACATCTGCAAAAATCAAAAAGTTTCTTCTGTAGCCTTGAAGATCTCTCTCCCCACCCCCACTTCAAACAATGTCTCTATTCAAAGAGCAAGAGAAAATCATAAAAATAATGGCAGGGTGGGAACCTAGAGAAATAAAAGCCAATCAGGAAGCTTTTGGTTGGAAAACTGTCTCAAAATGACCTGCAATGACTGCTGATTGAGCGAGTACAAGGCTGGCCTAGATTCACTTCCAGAAGATAGCCTCTGATGAGTGCACCCTGAATGCACAGCTCTATCAGACGCACACCCCAGAAAGCTGCTCTTCCAATAAATAGTGGGCCATATCGCCGTTGTAAATAAAAGCAAGCACATGGTTTTTCAGATCGTTGACATTACAATAGAATCTACAGCACCAACGCAAGTAAGCTAAGGGGCACGTAACGGGTGTATACTCTGTCATAGCCCTACACCAGCTCTACTCCTCTTAAATGGAAAAGAAGATTAAAGTGTCGAAATAATAAAAAAGTAAAAAAGTCCTTTAATTTATCATAATAAATTGATTGCTTTTTCAAAATACCCTTTTACAAATTGGTGATATATAAATTAGTTTGCACTCTTCCAGCACATGTGGTTGGTTAGGCAGAGGGTGCAGGACAATGGAAAGAAGCCACTTTGGATTTAATGACTGATCATGGATAATCCCAACAAAGGTAACTAGCAGGAGACTGACTAGAGCACCAGTTTCCAACCAGACTCATAGAGTTTAGCTCCACTTTCCTAACTCAGTGGTGTTCAACATGTATCTCCTGCAGTTGGGTGGGGAAAAAGGATTTCCCCTCCCAGGTCAAGTCTCCAGGAGAAGTGAGGTGAATTTCTCCATAACTGCTTAAATCTGGCAGAGGGCTGACCTTACCTGAGTTAAGAAAAACTCAACTCTGATTCACAGTCTGGCTTGTAACTCACCTGGATAACTTAAGACTCAGTATGGTTGTGTAGAGTCCCTCAAGGGGAAAAAGGAGAAAGAAAGAAAAGAGACAAATAAGACTACCTGTATATTACTGCTTGTCTTCCAATTCTGTTCCTCACGAAAATGCCCATGAAGAAAATGCCAAGGTGCACACTGTTTCCATGATTGTCCTGTGCGAGATCAACAAAAGACACTTGTGATTACCCATGTTCATTGCGGCACTATCCACAGTAGTCAAGATATGGAATCACCCTAAGTGTCCATCAACGGATGAACAGATAAAGAAAATGTGGTATACGTGCACAACGGAACATGGATGAACCTGGAAGACATGAAGTGAAGTGAGCCAGGTACAGAAAGACTGATATCTCACGATCTCACTTATATGTGGAATCTAAAAAGTGGAACTCATAGAACCAGAAAGTAGAATGTGGTTACCAGAGCTGGGGTTTGGGAGGATTAGGAAAATGCTGGTCAAAGAATACAAAATACCAGTTAGACAGGAGAAAAAAGTTGGAGAGATCTACTGTACATCATGGTGACGACAGTTAATAGCAATGTATTATTTTCTTGAAGATCACTAAGAGAACAGATTTTAAATGTTCTGATTACAAAAAAGTACATGAGGTGATGTATAGGTCAATTAGCTTGATTTAGCTGTTACATATGCATACATATTTCAAAACATGTTGTACACCATAAACATACATAATTTTTATTTGCCAATTTAAAAATTAATTTAAAAAAATACTGAAGATGGGCCGGCCCGGTGGCGCACTGGATAGTGCGCCGCTTGGGAAGCGCGGCGGCGCTCCCGCCCGAGGGTTCGGATCCCACATGCAGACCGGCTCCCGCTCACTGGCTGAGCGAGGCGCGGGAGCAACGCCGAGGTTTGCAATCCCGTTGCCGGTCCCCGGTCCGGTGCGGGGGCAACACTGAGGGTTGC